CCGAGCATGATTTTCAGCATCCAAGTGTAACCGAGCGAAAGCATGAAATATGAATTTATAACCCATGCATATTTATGTATCTTATGAACGTTAATTGTATTTCTAATGATTTGTTGTTTTTTTAAAAGGTCTAAAACCTTCCGCTAATTTATGGTAGAACACTCGGACTTCCATTAGTTAATGGTGGAAATTACACTCGGGTTGGCGGAAAAATATTACGTATCCATCACGTAATTACACCCTTTATGCTCGTACCGCAACACCAGTGTTTTATAATTTTGATAATACTCAAATGAACGGTTTTAAACTACGTTTAGAGCTGTAAACATACAAGTTAGGTACTTGTTACAACGTTGATATGAAATTGAATAAGTGTTTAATCAGTAGTAGACGAAATAGTTCAACATGAAATGGTCCACTTCTAGTCTCCATTGTACAATAAAGTAAAGTGTCTGTACGAATCTGGATTTGAGATGGTTCTTCATAGAAAACTGGCAAATGGAAAGTCAACCATTTGTCGGCGAATAAATAGATTTAGAAAGCCACATGGATGGAATGTCGTCGAGTGCATATTCAGATATTTTAGATGGAATATGAATGCACTACGAAAATTGAATTCCTGATAAAGCAGCCTGCATACCGTTCAATTTATAAACAGAAAAAAAGCATTACTCTCGACAGACAATCAACCAAAGACATATATTTATGTACAGTTATTAGACTATATGCTGTTCAAAGTGCGACACAATTTATATTTTACAATAAATCTGGACAACAGCTTTTGTAATATTATAGTGTAGTACGTCATTTAGTACATGCAATATCCATCAATGTGTTAAATGTTGTACACAAAACAAAGTTTTGTAAGTTAAGTTTTAAAATGCAGCTTACCGAATCCTAATCACATATACCTATATATAATTATGTGGTGCGGTCGGAATGAGCACAAAGTTTCAGAGTAGCGGTAATCTTAGTAGATTAACGCGGTTCTATAGGGATCAAAAACTTTGGCAAAGTATACTTTGGATAAATATACTTCCACGACCCTTAAATTAATCATGCTTTAAATAGTTAGGCAATTCTACTACTTTTATTTTTACAATTTTATTTTTACGTTTTCAAGTTATTTCCAAGACCTTTGCCATTCAAGAAAATTTGTCTTGAACATAAGTACAGTCATTGAAGAACTGATCACTTATATTATACAGATTATTTAGTAATTAAATTTGAACTTTCATTTACAAACAAAGGTTACCCTTGACTAGTAAACATTAATTACTGCACGCTTCATGATTACTTCCACAGACAACAATTTAATGAGACATTATTTTTGAGTTCAGGTCAATAATTTAGGCTGATCGTATTGAAGAAGAGAGTATTTATTCCAATAGTAGATTAAGCGAGGGCGTCTTTAATTCCGCCAACAATTTCCTCAGTAGCTTTTGCTGTGTTCGTTTATCTTGTCCAGTTTATTTCGAGGCACTCTCGAGAGGATCGAGTTCCTATATAAATACAGGAGAAAGACAAACTCGGGGGAGGAAATGTGATTGGCAATCGTATCAGCTGCAGTCACTGGATTTACCAGAAGGGAGATAAATTACAGCAGTTTTACGACGAAAGGCGTGTGAGAGCGTGGAAGAGCCGGCCTCGTCTCATTAACTGAAAGCTGTAGGAAAATTAGGACTCGCGAGAGCTTAAGCGCCATCATTGCCCATTAACCTTGTAATAGCTTAAATATGCTAAGGTGCTTGAGTGGAGGGCAACGGAACAACTAAAACTTGTTCTGTCGTGTTGGTTTAATTCAGAAACGTTTGGAAAAATGAACTCGCAATACTTTGAAATGTATTATTTATAATGTAACGGTTGGTAAAAAATATTACAAAAACACGGCCATATAGTTAACTATTATTCTTAAGCCATAAGACAGAGCATAATAAGATCAAGCTATAAAGGAACGTAATTTTAATTGGAGTAAGTGAAAAATTACGGCCACCCGCGGTTTGGTGTTTCTCACTGCGTTATTCTTTTTGACCTATTTTTATAAAAGGCAATGAAATGTCATTCGGAATTTCAATAGTTCCTTATATTTTTAAATTATAATTAATTTTGTTACAAAATTAGTGTAATTAAGTTTATATTTCTTAAGTTGCTGTTTTGATTTTTCTGTTTACTGTTTTTTCTTGTTCTAAGTATTAGTTGCCATTACATAATAATGTTAATTATATAATATAATAGCCTTCTCTATGCTTAATACATGCTTCACACGAAGCAGACTAGCTATATATCAATGCCAAAGACAGTGTTTACAGTAGCTTGACAAAATATTCTTGGCATAATACTGGAGCGCTGTTGCGAATTCATACGATATAGCGTCTATAGGTGTAGTAACTAAATATTATTTTACTACATCGGTAGTGACTGCTATCGTTACAGTGCGGATATTGACGAAGGCAAATGAAAAGTACTTATTATAAATCAAATTAAATTTCGTGCCGTTATAAAACTGGTTACGGTTATGTTGAAATGTTCAAAAAAAAGATAAGCTTAAGGCTCCCGGGAGGGTAGGTCCCAACGTTGTTACCATTATGAGTACGACCGACATTTCATTATGATCTGTATTACGGTACTCATTTTGAAGGTTGCATTTTATTATTTTACACCTTTAATTATTCGTAAAGTCTGGGAACTTCCTTCAATGTCGGTATAATACCTATGTTAACGGACGGAAGGTGGATTATTAATGACCTGTCCGTCTTAGTTATCTGCCGCTACAGGAACGCGGTCGATGTTCTCGATTTGCTCTCGTCGTGTCCTCGCTCCTATTGAATTTCGATTTCCCCCACGCTTAATTAATTGAGTAGTCGACGCCAAAGCTAAGAAAGTTTCTTGATGTTATTTCACTTTTAAATCCGATAAATCCAAGGAGCGCTAAAAGTTTACGTACGAGTTAGCAGTGTTTGAAAAAGCTTTATTTTTATTTATAGATTTTGCTGTTCTTTACAGGAACGCTCTCGCTCGCGATCAATTGAGAAGTTTCTTTGTCTATTTTAATTAATAATTTTCCGTGTTTTCGCTCTCAGCTGTGACGTTTCCATATTCAAATGAGTATTACTTCCGAAGAGCCGGCAGAGCGGAGACAAAACAGCCACAAAGCTCTCAAAGCAGTTATTACGTAATCCAAGTTTTCAGTCATAACTCAGGGTGTCATTCGCCGTTTCGCAAAATGTTTTCTTCAAAAGCCACATGCGAACGTCACATCCGACTCAGTTCTTCAGCCTGAGCTTACAAATAAATCTCACAATAAGCCGCTATATTGCATTGCACTGGACAGCTGAAGTCTGCTTTAATTTTTAACACTACTCATTTATCATAGCAATCATTGTTCATATTAAAAATCGCTTTCACAATAAATTAAAATCCTTTTCTATAAAAAAAGGGACTACGATGTTTCATTTATCATTTTATCATTTAAACCTACTTTCACAGAGAGAAAAACGGAGAGCAAAATATTTACATATTATTTATATTACTGTTTCTTTAGTAGCTTAGTGACACTAGAATGTGACATAACAACATTGCATCCCATATACGTACTTAAACAATCTTGTTCTTTTATTATTATTATTTAAAGTATTAAATGTTTATCTAATTAAAAAAATAAAACTGACTCACATACACGATATACTGCCAAATATTCGAGTTCCCAAAAGAACTCAAGAATAAAGCTTCAGTAACCCTAAAACCTAAATATTGGAAATGGATAGGTGACACTGATTGATTCATGTGTTACTCGTGCGTCCCTCCTCTGTACTATCATAGAGCCCATATTATGTTGCAGTCTGCTATGTATACAGAAGCTCGCGAGTCCTATGCGAAAACCTTAGGCTCGTCACGTCGCGGACGTGCGCTTTGCAAGCTAAGTAGGGAAGCTTTATTTTACTTATTATTCTCAGACGGCAACTTGCACTTATCTAGTGTTTTCGTTTTTATTTTCATTCGAAGAAGCCTTCCACGTTTCTCGAGAGAGCTTCATGGGTTTCTTTTATATATGAGGTCGACGGCCTCATCGGTCTAATGGTGGGATTGGTAATAATCAACGGGTTGTGGGAGTGCGATACCCACCGAGACCGATATGTTTCTAATTTTTAAATTAATATTTGTTATGAATATTAAATGGATGGCAATAACATAGAAATTCCGACCGGGTCACGAACCATCGGCAACAGATTAAAAAGCCGTGAAGCTTAATCGCGTTTCGGTTTCAGTCTGTTGTCCAAATGTCTTAAGCCAAGACAGGCCGAGAGCGCATCTTGTTTGCATCAACCCCGAGCTTGTCTGCCCTCCTCTATCAAATTACCCTTCATCAATTAAAAAAGGCAGTGCTTTTAACGTTGCAAGAACAATATTTTGTGACATGATATTAAGGGCCAGATAAGGCAAATGTGCAAAATAAGCAATCGATTTGATATAGCTTGAGTTACGACCGACTTCTACACAGTATGTGAATATCCGGCTCTTCATTCCTCTGGATCCATCTTTTGAAGCTAATAAATGGTGAGATTACTCACTTTGACACATTCTTCGTTATTTATATCGACGGTTTTAGGCACGACTTGGACTGAAAAGAAATGACCCCATTTATATAAAAACTCTAACAAATATGGAGTTGCTATAATTCAAAACGAAGTCTATCCGATATAACATGTTAACATGTTTATTCTTTAATAGATTAATTAAGCACATGAAAATCCTAAATCTACGGTTTGGAGAATATATTAAAGATGTAATCCTTCTATTATTTCAGATGGTATTAACCCTTAATAATGGATGTGAAGTGGAAATTAATTGGCAACCGGCATATAGGGGTCTAAACATGTCGGTAAACGTCCTAAGCCAATAACACCCTTTCACGATCTGTTTGAATGGTCAAATTGAGTTCTAAATTTGCTTAAAAGCGAATTTGACGGTTGCGAATGAAGTTTAGAGGAGATTAGAGGAAAATGTTGCCGGTGCCACATGATCGCTTGTCGGGCAGACGAAGCAGTTCGATCGTGAGCCGGACGCTGCTCGGTCGCCGGGCGTCCGTCTACGTGACCAACAGCCAGCAAGATCCCACCAAGGTTAGTGCCTATAAATCTTTCACTAGACTTCCGTTTTTACGCAACGTGTCCTTCGGGACACCAAATAGACTTGAGATAACTATGTAAATAGCATTTGTATTAGACAACAACTTCTATAGACAAAAATATGTTTGTAGAACTAGCTAATCTTAAATCAATTTCTTTTTCATTTCTGATTGATAAAAGTTGTAAGTTTCTTAAAGTGATTTCAATAGAGGACAGCTTTTACATAATGTGTAAATAAAAAAAACTTTAGCAGTTTAAAACGCGATATATGTTAAACTTATTTGATAATTATTTTAACTACGGCGCGGCCGGTGTCTCCCCGTGACCACGACTGCTGCAAAACATCCGAAACGTCAAGCCGTAGTTAAATTTTCAAATAAGTTTATTTAATATATGCCGTGTTTTAAACCGACAAAGTGTTTTATTTAAATGTGTACTATAATATTTACATTTGTTATGTTATGTACATGTTCGACGTGGTCGTGGGTTCGTCTACCCCCCAATGTCATAAATTAAATAATGTATAAATACCTTTCAAATTTATTACGGCTTCGTTCGAAAATATTCAATCCAAACTCGATTACGATTCGTATGTTTTATGTTACAAACCACCGAGGAGATGGAAGTGTTTTATTACTCTGCCCAAAAACAATTGGAGATAAAAAGAAAATTGACAATTTCCTTATGTTGATACCCATGTGTATTATTTAAAGTCCTTTTGCAAATAGACAAAATTATATACAAGTTAAAATCCCGTATAAGCTTACTAGTAGTACTGACGTCTCCTTACTTTTCTTAATAGAGACAAACAATTCCGAGGACATTAATGAACAAACTTGTACCGTTAACACGACACAATAGGACTCGGTTATACTGTCTTAAATTGGAATTGGGAATAGGCGAATGTTGTAATTGTTAGCTTAACTAGGCTTTGATTTGATAACGTCGCTTCTTTGGTGATAACGCTTCTGAGATACTTTTGACCAGTAACCGTGATCGTTACACTTAAGAAAAACATTGTGTTGTATTATTTTACTTACACGTAGTTGAAGTCTAGTTTTGTTTTCACCTCAAGTATATAAATCAAGTCTCAAGTATTTACTGCGGCAAAGAGAATTTTTTTATCATCAATATACCAAGATGAAGTGCGAGTCGGATTTTTGCACGATGGGTTCCGTACCACTATATAGGTACACAAACATGATATTGAACCTTTTTTAATAGCTGGCTATATAATAATATTAAGTAAAGGCAAAAAGATACGTTTTGTATGGTTGCTCTCGTGAGTTAAAATATATTTCATTGTAAATTAATTAAGTACTAAGTATTTTACTGAATATATTGTTAAGAGGTTAGTGCGTACATAATTATTGTATAAAACTCTTGATTATACATATTTTCTCTTTAGTTCTCCTTATCATCGCTAAAACAGAAACTCATCACTTGTCGAAATTCCAACTCGTTAACTATCGCAATTCTTGATATATCCATGCAGTTTTACCTTTTCGGAGAACCCTAAAAAGTACTCCATTGGACCTCACAAACGGTACTATCGTATTGAGGTTATTACGAGAAATAAGTAATAATAGGGGGGGCAACTTTTGAACAAACTCGATTTTAACTTTACGCTTCAAGTAAATTATGTGCCGTTACATCCTCACAGCACAGTTAGGCGCAGCGTTAAATTGTAGCCGTTTTCAATATTGGATGGCAACGACAAAGCAATAGGTGAGTGCTTTTTAGTGTACTATTTGATCTATTCGGCGCATAATTGCAGCTGGCGCGTGCCGCTCAGCCAGAGATTATTACGGAGCAATGTCGGCGCGGCCGCGTGCTACTAATGGCTTGTAATGACCCATTGCTTTACCGACACCGATAAAACGCAATAAATTATTAGGAGCGAATGAAAGACAAAATGCAGTCAGTGACTTATTTTAATTACAGCCCCACGACAAAGTCAGTGTTTAATTTCAGACAAGCTTAGCTTAATGAAAAAACCGTCAAGTTTAATCGCATTTCAGGCTGTGAATTTCCAAACCCAAAATAGGTCGATGGCGCGTCTTGTTCAGATATTATGTTTGAGATTTGTATCATCAAGTCGACCAGATGATTGTCTGTCCCCTTTTATCATAAGAAAAAGTTAATATATTCAATTACCAACCATACCAACATGTTGGAAATAATCAATCTATACTAATATATAAAGCTGAGGAGTTTGTTTGTTTGAACTCGCTATTCTCAAGAACTACTAGTTCGAATTTCAAAATTATTTTTGTGCTGGTTAGAGCATTTATCGAAACAGGCTATGAAACAACTTCGCGACTAGTAACAGCGAATAAATAGCGGTAAATGTGGAAAAGATATACATTTTTACAAAATAAATTATGATTCCCAAAATAACTATTCTACGCGACCCAAGTCGTTGACACAGCTAGTAGCTAGTTATGCGGAAAAGCGGTAGCAACACATCCATAAAATATACAAACGTATAATTTAAAAGATTACCTACTTGCACGTAATCAAGCATTTTGCGTTCATCGTTTTAAACAACTCGTCGTTACTGGCTCTCGAGAACGCCGTACTCCGTGCGTACCGCATCAATCATAAAGTATCTGAAGAAATAAATCTTTTCGGAATGAAAGCCGACAGCTCCCCTCTCGATGGCCAGTTAACGTAAACTATAACGCACTTTATGAGCTCCACGGGATAGCTTTACGACTACCATGAATGTAGTCTTTATGAAAATTGGGCTCAAGGTCCGCGCAATAAATTCATAATCTTCTTAGCGCCCGACAAACTGTCTATTACAGACAAAATGGCGGTCATTATCAACGAACAAATTGTCCGTTCTATTAATAAACATTCATAAAATTGTGTTATAATAACTTATATGGGTTTAACTGCTTCGCACCACAATGATCTAAACCCTACTTTATCAATGGACGTTAGTGCGTGATGTACTGACCAGTACAAACACGGTAGTCCTGGTGGAACTATAAGGATACAAAGCTTAATAGAGAAAGCGTTTTCTATTTAATTACTTACAGAACGGCTGTCACAAATATGTATAGTGGCATATACAGGTCATTTCGTTCATCAGTAAAAGGACAATCGATTTAACGGTTCAGTTAATCAGCAATACCATGAATGCTAGATAAATGCCACTCGGTAGTATCTAACACCTTAACATGTAATCTTGATATCTATAGGCTTTTCAATAAAACACTTTAACGGTTCAAAACGCAAAATAAATTGCAAAGCTTCTAATACGCTGGGCCATTGTTAAATTTGATTAAAATAATTTAATATATTTCACCATTTAAACCGTCCAAAGTGTTTTATTTAAATGTGTACTACTCGCATAAGTTACAGGAAATTTTAAATCACCCACTTTTATTATATTTTATATTTATACAATCGATGAAGTGTCTTGAATAGTAAATGGAATCCTTTTAATTTTGTGAAAACATAAGATAAATCAAAAAACAAGTTTGTATTAATTTCTTAACAAAATAAAAAGTTCATAGCAGAAGAAAAGAAATATCCAAGTCCTCATAAAGAAGGCAACATAAGTTATTAGTGCGAGGTAACAAAAATCGTACTTGCCGAGTTCGCAAAATCAGTAATATTTAACAGCTGTGCACCTAGTCGCCCTATTGCGCTATTCGAGTATTTCTTTATTTCTGAGCAACACAATTTTCTCTAATACGGCACTCGTGGGATATTAAGAAAGGAATATGATGGTAAGTGATTTATTAAATATAAACAATTTAAGAAGGTTTCACCTTACTTATACCTTTGGTTATAAAGTACCTATTCAAAGATGTGTATGATTTTACTGGGAAAAGTTTTTATGCAGGAGATTTTAAAAAGTGGACGAGTCTAAAAGGTTCTGCTTTATACTTTTTTATGATAAGAGAGAACAGACAAGCATAGGAAGTGAACCCTATGGATTGGGATAGATTGTGAAATGCCCCAGCTACCTCAACAGGATGTGTTGTCGACTTATGTTAAATTTTGATATTCCTACCACCCATTTAATATTTTGATTTCCAAACAAAGTCATCAAAAATATTTCAAACAAATATGTCGGACATGCGTTTAATCTATTTAGTACCTTATTTCGATATGGAGCTGTCCGCATTGGGTGCAGCAACGTGCGTCATGACCACATATTATGCGTCCCCACGCTCGTTCGAGTACGAGGTAATGCACGAGCCTAACCCGTGCTTTAATGGCACTTCTGCCCCGTCACGCTTGTAACTAATTGATTTTATAATTACCTAGTTTGTGGTTTCCCTTTCGAGGGAAAATTTGTTTTTCTGACCCTCTTAGGGTTGTACGCATTATGTAAATAGAATGCTACCGATATATAAAAGCTTACAAATAAATACAATTCGCAGCGACTTGGTACATTTGAAATGTTTTGTAATAAACATGTCGAACTCCAATTTGTCGCTCGGTCCCGTTGATTCCCGATTCTCCCGGTCCTCGCAAAGAAGCACAGATTTCGTGCTGCGAATGAAAAGTGTATAACGAACGGTTCTATAATTCAGCAGAGTCCCCGGCCGACACGGCTCTCTACATTATTAAGTCCATCGAATTGCCTCTCACTTGTTTAAAAATTCATATTTCAGCTACTTTTCACGTGAGCATGATTGTAACTGCAAATTTCGGAGTTTTCAGATTCAAAAGAAAAATAAAATTGTATTTCAGGGACCTTTTTGCAGTAAATTTTCGCGCTGACACTATGATTTAGACATATAAGAAATATTATATATAGAAACTAGCTGTGTCAGTGAATTCGTTCGCGTAAAATAGTAATTTTGGGCATCCAAATTTGTTTTTGCAAACCTAATACCAAACCAACCGAATTCAAAACTTCTTTATAAATTTAAGATATTACTTACGACGTCGGGCGCGTCCCGTTGTTCGTGCTAATTAAACTAAAAAAATAGACTTGTTGTTTTTTTGAAAATTATAAAAAAGTCTTTCATACATATTGTTTGGGTAGATATATTTAACCGTTTTCGCAGCGTACGCATCAGAAATCCACAGAGATGAATAATTTTTCCCGTCTTTTTCACATTTGTTACTTTCGTCCACTTCTTTTGTATAGCTTATAACCTTTCTTAATAAATGCTCTAGCCAACACAAAAAGACTGGATTTTTATTCGAATCAGTTCCTGCGATTAGCACGTGTAAACAAACAACCTTTATATATTAGTATAGACTAAATTTCTACACCTATTGTATTAATTTTACTATTGTGAAAAGTAATAGACCGGCTAGCTAAAAGCGATCAACATATAATATGTATATATGCTACAAGCTACACTGATGTATGTATATCATGTGTCAAAATCACAATACGAATTCTGTAGATATCGAATTATTAATGAGTTAGTTGCTCTCGATACGAAAGTTCATAACATCTATAAATAACTTGAGCCGACAAAAACTTGTAATCGACTCTGCAAATCGATGAGTTTCTCGCACTTAATCTCGGCGATGTTATTTATTTACTTGTGATATCAGATTGGCGGCCTTTTCAGTCCTACCCGTCTAATGGCTTTGCGTTCCTCGTAATTCCTAAGAATTTTCAACCGCCATTTGAATTGAATTGAATAAAAGTTATTATCATTTATCCAGTACGTATCTCTGAAATGATTAGCCATAAATAATCATTTCAAAAAACAAACTACATAATCAGATAATAAAGTTAAAGCCTTAATTTTTGAACACTTTCTAGGTTATTTCACTTATTGTATTATATAATAATTCAATGACATATAAAAATGCACGTTTTAGCCTCGCGTCATCAATAAAGTACTAAAGACACAATAGTGAATAGTTTGGATTGAATCGGAAAAGTTGAAGACAATCTGTGCGAACACTATTCATTGCCGCAACGACAAGTTTGAATGAAGCCGTTCAAACTTATGCGGTTAGATTCACTATTTCTTTCCCAGAAGAATAACATTCCAATAAAGAAATGAAATACTTTGGAAGTGGGGAAAAACCGATTGGCAGTATGGCAGATTAGAAAGTTTTCTATTCATTTGTTTTTCCATCCACACTAGTTCCGAGTATAACTCGTGTCAGCAAAATGAAATTAAACGACAAAAAGTAACAGACACTTTGATTACTTACGTTAAGTACATTATGCGTAGCAGTGCTACGAGATGCTACGAGCTACGTAAAAGTTAATCAACTTAATTTGGCCAAAATATAGCACCGGATACAAAAATTTTAAGTTCATATAATAATTACCAAAGTCGACGTCATTATTTAACGCGTGTATGCATTACCTTCTTCTTAGGTACGTTATTCAGTGTTATTTTGATTATTGAGTATTTAAAAAACCAAACAATATTAACTAATTAGTAATAGTATCTCACTTACTACCGGTGTAGCAAAGTGAGTCAAGGGGTGAATTAAATAAAATGTCAAATAAAACGTCGATAATAAGAACTACCCATTGGCACATCACAAGTGCGAGTAAAATTATTCGTCATTGAATTTGATTTCGTATTCAATGTACTGTAATGAACGAAATCATGAGATATTTGGGATTAAAAACGGTAAATTGAGTCGCAATTTAAAGGACGCGACATTGACTGATGTATAACCTACTTCAACATTCGCCGGCACTTCAAGGAGATCGACTTAAGTGGAAAAAACGGGATGCTCCCTTCCCGCGCTACAATTTATTGCCCATCACAACACTTTAAAATTAGCTCGTTGTGATTTAACTGGGACAGTAAAGATTGTAATGGAAGCTCAGTGTGATTGCATCTATAGATAGATAATCGCGAGGCAAAGAAATATCTCCGAAGATATTTTTTACTAGTGTGACTTCGTCCGCGTAGAATTGTT